TTGAGTTAAGTTCATTTCCCCTGCTGGTTAACTTTTAAACCAGCACACTGTTCAACATTGCACTGCACTGCTATTACTGTCCTGATGATATTTATTCAGAGATCAGAGTGTTCCTTGATGCACGGTTTGTTGAAAGTTCTGACTCAGACTAGATTTGTGTGCTGTGCAGTGTGATCAATGGTACTTCAAGCCATAGAGCCTCACACACAGAATTTATCCATTCCTGAGGTCTATTAGCTTCTCCTCAAACAGCTAATCTTAGCACACACATGAAACACAAGCCTACTTGCACAGAGCTCTCTTCTCTAGACATCATTTCCTTCCATTGAGAAACACTGTGTTGGTAAGTAATTTTGACTGTCATCTGACAATGTCTCTTGCCCATTGTTCACAGATAGTTCACTTATATGGATCCCTTAGCAGGAAGCCTGTCCCTCCCTGACATTTCTCGGAGATCAGGACAACAAGAAAGCCTCCTTGACTGTCTAAAAGTCTTTCTTTATGCCAGTCAGAGATCGAGCATCTGACCTTCAACATTAGCAAACTGTACCAGATACCCGCATCTGAGTATCTCTTGCATCCAGTGTCGATCATGCCTTCCTAAAACATTGTCCACCTTGAGCCCTGATACACCCTTTCTGCTGGGATAACTCCATCATGTACTTCTGATGCAGGAGATCTAGTGACTCCAGCAGACCTCACAGTCTATAGCAAAGCTGAAGTGGTCCCAAGCCACACTCTATGGCGAACCTTGTTAATCCTCAAGGTAGATCAGAGGGTTGCATTTCAGTTTTAGGATGTGTTTATGACACACTTTTAACAGCTGAAGCTCTGAGAAGTCCTGAGTTTCTTTCAGTCCCAGATTGCTCCTGGTCCCCATCTGACTCCAGCCCAGACAAAAAAATCATTGGTACTTAGAATTAGTGGGGTGGTGCAAGCTGGAATCATAAAACTCTGAAATAGACCCTGTTGCTATTTCAGTTCTAATTGCTCTCTTTGCTGCCTGGTTAGCAGACACTTTTCAATCAATTGCTGCATTTGTGCTGACAACACTGAATTACAAGAGTTGCTCTTGTCTTTTCTGTGACCTCCATCTTCAGCTGTTCTTGCTTTCTGGGCAGGAGCTAAGGGACCTTATTTCCAGCACTCACCGCCATAAAGCAGGGAAGGAATCTTCCCATACCCAACAGCCCCAGATTCCCAGCTGCTACAGAGAGCACACTGCAAACCTGCCACTGCACATTAGCTGAGAAGCTGACCTGTAACACTTATGTGGGGATGGAGTCCTGTGATTTGTCATTTTAATGATAACCAAAAAAACCAAAAAAAACTAAACATCCCCTTTTACTCAAGTTGTTCCTTCCTGGTAATTTCACACAGAGATCCCAGACCCTAAACTCCTCAGCCCACTGAGCCTTTCCCATCCCCTGCAGGACTTCACACACTCCGATGAATCCGCTCCAGTCAGCAGCTCCTGCAGTCCCCTGCATGCATCTAACATCTGCTAACAGAGGGGATAATGGATGAGCGCTGCCCCACCCCTTCACACAAAGTACGGCCTTATTCTTCAAAAACACTGCTCAGAGCAGGATGCTCCGTTACTGGACACTCCTATAAATACACCACACTTTCAGACGGAGGAAGCAAGCCTGCTCTAGTAAATATTTTAGCAATGAAGTGGCATGGGGTTCTTAATGCTTGTCATTTTTCAACATAAGAAGCACTCCATCAGAAGGTGCTCTACCCTCAAGGGAGAGAATGTGCATTCTCACACTAATGGGACAGCCAGCGGCCAACACCTTATCGGTATTAACTTTCCTTGATAATGTTTGGTTTTTCCTCCACTCCACCACCTAATGTTCAGGAAGCACTTGATTTAATAAGAAAGTTCATAATGTTAAGTTACAGACACCAGGAGAGGGAAGCCTGATAGAGTATAATTGGCAAGCAACAAATTATTAAAAAAAAAAAATCTTGGCTTTCTCGAGGATAAAAATGTTTTTGTCTTTTTTTTTTTTCTTTTAAAAAGGAGCTTTTGTCTGGTGGTAAGCTTGGTGGTGAGCTGGAATGCTTGTGGTGATTGAGATGGGGAAAGCAGCAGAGCTTTGGTGGTCTGGAACTCAGTGTGTAAGCAAGGAGTGAGGGCATGCAAGCCTAGAGATGGCTCTGCTGACACTAACCTAGTTGTTTTATGGGGATAATACCAATTGCTGAGCACAGTAATGGTGCCAGGACTAACTAGGACTGCCTGTAACACAGGCAAAGAGAAGGATAGTATTTTACAGCATGCCTGAAGTCCAGGCAGGAGAGCTCCATGGCAACATGCAGGGGTCTGTTATTCTTCCATTCATTCTCAAGTGCAGCTCCTGGCATTGATGTGATCTCTATACCATGAGGCATGAAGGATCTTTGCTCCTCTTTCTCTCCAAGCTGCCAAGTTGCAGCTCTTTCCTCAGCCTTATCCATCCCTAAAAGTGGGGTTGAGAGAGTAACATGTCTCTGCAAAACTGTTCTAGGATGCCTTATGAGAAAAAAGGAACTCTGGAAGATGGTTTCTGCAGGGCCTTGAAAGATTTTTCTGTGGCAAGCGATAAATAACCCCAAATCTGCAATGTGCAAACAGTTGCTAACAGGTTTAATTTCATGCATGTGATGATTTCTAGAAATAAGATATTTCACAGGTATGCGCACACACATACACAAAAAAAATAGTCCTGGCCCTATCCCACACATCTTTGCCTGCACTAGTTTGAAAACTGTTTGCAATGACTGGAACAAAGATCATACCGTATTTCCTTTAGATAATGGGAGAGAAGAACAAAAATCAGGACTGTGGCAAGTGCAATATTTCATTCTTTCCCTTGCATACTCAGCAGACTTTGTAATCAAGCTTCCTCACTTGAAGACACCCTTCCTGCAAGTATGGAAATGGGCAGTGTCTGTTTCTCAGATTTGTGAAATGTCATCTTATCAAAGCTGTTATAAAAGAGACAGGACAGAATGTCACCTGTCTGTAGAATGGGAGATGTGTGCTGTTGGTTTCCTGCAGAGGTGACCTTGGACCTCTCTTTCACTTCCAAAGCTTTATGTGCCTTGATCATTTAGATGCTAAATTTGTAGGAGGAACAGAGAAGCGATTTTTACTGTATGTAAAGTGTACAGCACAATGACACCATCTCAGGTGAGGTAATGTGCCTGTATAAATACTTTCCTTTTTTTTTAATGTAAAGCTT